CATATGATGTAGCATTACATTTCAAGAAAAGGATTTTGAGGTTAAAGTGTGATTATATTTATTCCAGCTAATCCTTCATAAAGAAATCATTAACTTATATCCAACTAGGTATTTTGTTAGTTGAACTTATTACTGTCATGCACTTATACGTAAAAGTACGTAGTTAATTAGATCGACAAAAAGGTCATACCTCATGATTTATATATCATTAATTAACAGAAAAGAGTCAAAAATATTCTTCTACTATTCAAAAATGTTTATTTATATCCTCCGTTATACTATTGGTCCACCACAGCCCCAAGCGTCATACAATTAGTTCAAAAGTACCCATCTGTCGTTAGGACCTTCCACCATGGCAATATTATTCCACGTGGCCCGACATATCGCTGAGATGGATGTCATGTGACATGCCACCTCATTGGGGAAGGTGCAATGAGGGTGGCATGCCACGTGACATCCACCTCAACGATATGTCAGGCCACATGGAATAATTTTGTCATGGTGAAGGATTCTAACGGCAGAGGAGTACTTTTGAAATAATTGTATGACGTTGGGGGATGTAGTTGACTAATAGTATAGCGGAGGGTATAAATAAATATTTTCAAATAATACAAGAGTATTTTTGACCTTTTCCGTATCATTAATTATCAATATATATAATTTATCGTCGTGTCGCTATATTGATTGACATAATTTTGTATATATTGATAATCAAAGAGGAGATATTTCTATTTCTTTAATTTTTTCAGTACATATGGGGATCGAGGGTAAAGGGTGTAATGAGAATCAAATACACACAATGAAATGGTTCAACTTTCCCATGCCTAAGAGTATATTTTTTTTTCAACGTAAAAGTTTTTTGGGCAAAATACAAAACTGATCGGCCGAAAGACGTTAATTGTATTTGCTAACCAAAAAATATATAAAATATCTATATTATATGTGTATAATACACATATATATATATAAGAAAATATATTTTTTCAGTTATTATTTTTTGGAACAGCTAAAAATATATATTTTTCAAGTTTCTTCGCGGTACTTTTTCATTCGTTACAAGAAAGTATTTAGGTAAACATCATCATTATTACCTACTCAAAATCCAAAATTGCACTTAACCTGCTTCTTTATTTATATAAGATCCCAATAGAATTTGTATAGTAATTTCCTTTTTAGATAAAATTAAAGTAATTGTCTAATGCATAACGTGATAACGCACCTAACTAACTAGTCAAGTCTTAATTTCCATAAACGTTAAACAAAATGCCTACCCACTAATAGTGAATTGTCTATATCGATTGGACCCACTATTAAAAAGATCCAACGTTGTTCTTATAAAATAATGTTAAATACATCTTAATCAAGTGCTAATCCAAAAGACAAAAACCTTTTTTAAAACCTTATTTTACTAGTATAATATTTTCATTAGTGGGGTTTAATGTCACTTCAACAGCCACAGGGCAACTCAGTTAAAAATATTTGGTTGCATAATAAACTATGAGGGTCCGTTTGGTTCAAGGGATTAGATGAGTTATTTCGATATAAAATTTTAATTTTTCTTTTATCTTATGTTTAGTTGTAGCCTTGTAGGTATAAGCTAAATCAATATTACTTTTAGATCTAAATTTTGATTTAACTTATCTCATAAATGGTTGGGTGTATTATTCAGATTATAATCATGATTATAATCGTGAAATATCATGGTTTTGAATCAAGCGATCCGATACTGTCACATTAATAAAAAATTAGCGAAGGACAAATTTTATAACTAAATAAAGAAATCTTTTGCTAATTGCCTAATCATACTGAGCGACATATTATAATTTTTTGTTTTAATTACGAGCGATTTAACAATAAATTAGAAATAAAGTTCAAGTTAATTCTAGCACTTTTTCGGTAGTGCGTGAAAAAAAAGTGGATTAGATGTGACCTGGTTTAATTCTTTATTCATAAAATTTAAATAAAGATATATTAATCCATATAGTCATTATAAAATTACTATAATCGGTAAGTGAAAAAATCAAACGGCTTAGGTTTGTGCAGCACACCTAAACCTAACTAGCAACCTAACTGTCCTATATTAAGGGTTTCCACTAGGCCGGGTTGGTTCGGATTTTACAATTACCAAATCAAACCAATTGTGTCGGGTTATTAAATCTGAAGACCAAACCAAACCAATAAAACTCGGGTTTTTCAATCTCGATTTTTCTCGAGTTTTTGGGTTTTTCGGATTTTTCGGTTTTTTTTCCCGGTAAAATCTTCATAGAACAAAACATATAATGTATGCTCAAAATATTTCTTTAATCCTAGTAAGACGCAACTATATAAAGTATTTTCCAAGAAAATAATACAAAATATGAGATGTTTCATGGCATTATCCTAAAATTCAATAATAAAATTATGTAATATAAATATTGCTAATTAAAAAGCCATAATAAAAATAAACATAATCTAAAAGTACTAAGTCATGCTAAAATAAATAGACTAATAAGGGAGTATTAATTACATGAATAAACGCTAAAGAAAAATAAAAATAGATTATGCATTTTTATCTAAATTATTGCAAAACAAAAAATAGATGTTCAATACATTCTCGTTCGTAATATTGAATTGAATGTCTTTTGTTAGCATTAGTATTGATTTGATTTTGGTTTGGGTTTTTGTTAGCATTATTTAATTTACTAATGTTAATGGTAAAAATAGCACGGTATAGCCAGTTTTCGGACTGGTCATTCAAAAATAGCCAGCGTTTACAAAGTCAATAAAAAATAGCCACTATTTTGCTGCAACAGAGACCGGTCCAGCATAATATACTGGAGTTCGGTGCACCTGTGTATGAACTCCAGCATATTATGCTGGACTGGTATACTTTGCTGACTCCAGTATAATATACTGGAGACTGGAGCACCAGTGCTCCAAACTCCAGTATATTATACTGGACAATTATACTTGCTGGACTCCAGTATATTATACTGGAGTTCTAGTGTACTTATGTTTGAACTCCATCATATTATGCTGGAGTTCCAGCATACTTATCCTGGAACTCCAGTATAATATGTTGGAGTTCAAGCATACTTATGCTGGAACTCCAGTATAATATACTGACATATTTTTCGAGTTTTGAACAACGTTTTCGCTCAGATTTATCTTTACATGAAAAGTGGCTAAATTTCGATTACTTTTGAAATTGAGCTATTTTTGAATGACCAGTTGTAAATCTAGCTATTTTTGAATTTCTCCCATGTTAATGGCTATAAAACTTATTGGAGCATTCAAAAGTTCTAAGTTCAACCTTGAAATAATACCTTAAAAGATAAAATTATGAAAAAATTTAAGAAATATTTATAAATTACATCACAATAAGTATATTTATATATTAAATATATCTAAAATTTCTATATATGTAATGTCGGGTTGGTTTGATTTCGGTTTGACTTTCTTTAGTTAAAACCAAACCAAACCAATTATGGCCGGGCTTTTTTTTTTTCCAATACCAAACCAAATCAAACCAAATCATAATCGAGTTTTTCTTCTCGGTTTGACTCGGATTATCGAATTGGTGCGATTTGTCGGTTTTCTTTGTACACCCCTAATTTCCACATTAGTTTAGTCCTAATTATTTGACTCCTAAAATGGATAAAACTCGTTTACCATTTTTTAACCGTCAATGACTCAATGTTGAAATTTGACAAACAATCTATGTATATGTATTTTTTTTTTCCTTGTGATGGAAAATGTATATAAATTTCCCCTTTTTGTTATGAATACTTTAGTATACCATTTTAAATTAGCATACCGTTATTTCATGTTCTCATATTTATTGTTCTCGTTAGATAAATATTTCTCAAAAAAGTCGCTCTCAAGTTTAATTGAAAATAAAATATACAGCGAGTTATTCCCTTCTGAATCAAATAAATTAATCTAAAACTTTCAACATTGGATTTATCTTTCAGTAAATAAAGCAAAATTTAACTATTAGAGTTGTTTGATTGGGAAACAAATATCACATATTCCCTCCGTTCACTTTTACTTGTCCATTATTCTAAAAATAGATTTTCACTTTTATTTGTCCACTTTCGCATATCAAGAGAAAAAAAATTATGTACTTTTCTTGTTTTGCTCTTAGCATTAACTACTCATTTCAAATCATTTTTCAAATCCAGTAAGACTATACACCAATTAATATAAGTATCATAGTAAATTATGCACTTTATTTATTATTTCTTAAAGGGTGTGCAAAGTTTAATAGTGGACAAGTAAAAATGAACGAAGGGAATAATTAATTATCCTGGAATAAATTATCTCAAGATTGTTATCCCAGCATCCCATAGGGATAAAATAACATTAAAATCCTAGAATAATTGATATCGGAAATAATTATACCGCTATTTTATCCCAACCAAATATGTGATAAACTCATCTCAAGTTTATTTTGAAATTAATTATCTATTATCCCTCGTACCAAACGAGCCCTAGGACTTTTAGCAAGGGTAGAAGTGTCTTTACATCATTCGTGGGGGTGGTGTATGAATCAAGCTTGAAAATGACACGCTATTTATACCTTAGATTACAAGTAGTATTAAAAGCCATATCGTAATCTAATCGTTTTCTTGAAAATATATTTAAATAACGTAAGTAAAAGTTAAAAACTCAGAAAGCCTTTTTGTAGTTTGTTAAATTTCGTACACTACTTTCTACTTGGGATTCGTCCCATTTTTCAATTCTCATATCATTTCTCCTCAGACTTTTTCTCTTCAAAAAAAGGCAAATATCAGCAACTGTTTGTTTCTTTAGTTCTTTTTCAACTTCCCTTTGAGTTCTCTTTGTAAGGTACTCATTTTTTATGGTTTATTGTTTATTTTTCTTGAAATATAATGCATTTTTTTAAGGTTATAGTTTCATAGAGTTTAAAGCTTGATTCTTTTTTGTTTTCTTGAAAATGGGTTTTTTTTTTTTTGGTTAATTATTTATGGTTTGGTGTTTGTTGTGAAAACTTGAAGTCAACAAGTTTACAGCTCTGTGGAGAATGAATGATAGAAAAGATTGGTTAATCAGAAATATTTGCCAAAATTTTGTATGAATGTGTTTTATTTTTTCTGTGTAAAGAGATTGAATTTGATTTATATTTTGCTATCATAAAGATATGATCTCTTTTTGTCAGTAAATTATAAAAAAGACAAATTTGGCACGTGGAGGAGATTTAAGGGTGAGACCTAGTGGTCAATGAGGTGGATTGTGAACCATCAGGTCTCGGGTTTAAATCTCGCAAAATCACTAGGTGATTTCTTCCCATCTGTGCAATCCTTGGTAGATAGAGTTACCTGATATATGTGCTGGTGCGAGGTAGCGGTATCTCGTGGAATTAGTCGAGGTGCGCACAAACCGGTCAGACACCACAACTATCACAAAAGTAAAAAAAGGTCATGAAATGTAAAATGAGATGATTAATAGTTGTGGATTTCTGAAGCAAATAGTTGTAATGTTAATAGGTAATCATGTAAATACAATTTAATAGGTAATTGTATATTAACTAGTACTTTAATGTTAATAGGTAATCATGTAAATACAATTTTCTGGAGTGAATGGTGTTGTAAAATGCTTATTCTTCTTGATTTCTTGATTGAATTCATTATGTTTCGACCTTACTCGATTCTTGGTGAAATATTCCTTTCATAGTCTTTCTTTTGGCACTTCATAGGACCTTCAGGGTTATTATATCTTGGATAACATCAATAGATTGTAAGAATCATCGGCATTTCAATATTCTTTCACTGCGACCTACTTCTTCTCGTGTGTGCTTGCGCTTGTGTACTGAGGAAGAACGAGATCACGAGGGGCGGGGGGATAGAGTGCTTTGTATACTGAGTTCAATGACCGATAATCGTTAGTTTTAATAGGAATCTGGCTCATTAATTTTACTTGAAGTTTAAATAGGAGATAAAGTTCAACTAACATCAGAAGGCAAGCATGCAGTTCATGTTACTTGAGATTATGAACAATTATTGCAAACAGATGATATCAGAGAGTTCTATATTTGTTGTCTTAACATTGGTAAAAAATACTGAATCGTAACAGTGCTTATCCTGAAAAAAAAGAGAAGAAAAATAAAAAACAGATAATCACCCCTAGCTTTCTATTCTCATTTCAGGAGTAAGGAAGGGTTTTGAATAATGTTCTTCTTTCACTTGTATTAACGTGTGTAGATTGAGTTTTGCTATGAGTAAGTGTTAATTGTTCTGTATATCTATTTCCCAGGTCAAAGCAGGGGAAATTGTTTTAAAGTTGGATGTGTGCTTGAGCCTTTTTTGAAAATCTTGGCCCTTCCTATCCAGTTAAAACTCGAAACTTTCTGGAATTATGCATGTCTGGTCCTGGGGCCACTGTTGATGATATTGAAAGAACAGTAACTTTATCGGATAGGACGAAATCACTTGACGCCATTCATGATAATAACTACATTACAAAATTGACAAATGGTGAAGTTTGTCTTTCTTCTGAAACCACCAACTTCAGAGTTGGGGAGCTCTTATTACCAAATGGGGAATCCTACTCCGGGTCCCTGCTGGGAAACATACCCGAGGGTTCCGGAAAGTATATTTGGACCGATGGTTGTCAGTATGAGGGTGAGTGGAGACACGGGATGAGGCATGGGCATGGGAAACTAGAATTTCCTTCCGGTGCTGTTTACGATGGTGAATTTTCAGGTGGTTATATGCACGGCGAGGGGACGTATATTGGACCTGATAAAGTGACCTATAGGGGACGCTGGCGGTTGAACCTTAAACATGGTTTAGGATATCAAATGTATCCAAATGGAGATATTTTTGAAGGATCATGGATTCAGGGAACACCAGAAGGACCGGGTAAGTATACATGGGCTAACGGGAATGTCTACTTTGGAAACATGAAAGGAGGGAAAATATCGGGGAAAGGAACTCTCACTTGGATTAATGGCGATTCGTATGAAGGGAGCTGGTTAAATGGTACAATGCATGGCGTTGGTGTGTATACATGGAGTGAAGGTAGTTGTTATATCGGTACATGGACACATAGTCTAAAGGATGGAAAAGGAACATTTTATCCTAGTGGTAGCAGGCTTACGGCCGGTCAAGAATTGTACCTTAATGCTTTGAGGAAACGAGGATTATTGCCGGATATGAGAAAACAAAATCAAGTCTCTCATATCCATCATGCTGCTTCAGTTGATATGGGAAATGTCAAATTAGTAAGTGGTAACCAAGGATCATATGATAAGCGTCCAGAGAGAAACCTGTTAAATTTCGAGCAGTCTCGGCCTACAAATGTTGCTCTCGAAAGGCGATGGAGTCTTGAAGTAGCCATTGAGAAAGTGATTGGACATGATTTAGATGGAGACATGGAAGACAATATGAGTGCTCCAATTTTGGAAAGAGAATACATGCAAGGTGTCCTAATCAGTGAGGTTGTCTTGAATGATCGGTTTTCACCACCATCCGGAAGAGCCAGAAGGAGGCAAAGGAAACTTGCAAGGGAATTGAAGAGACCAGGTGAAGCAATCATAAAAGGGCACAGGAGTTATGATTTAATGCTCAGCCTTCAACTTGGGATCAGGTGCACTACTTGTGATTGCTGACAACCTTATTGCTTGCGTTTGTTGTAATATGTTTTCCTTGTTCTCCACCCCCCTCCCCCCATCTTATTTACAGATTATCTCACTTATGCTGGTCTTTCTTGGGTCTAAATTTTTCTATTGGTTCCTTGAAACTACATATTGTGTTATTATTGTATAGATCTTCCATGCTATTTTGCTAGATTTAATGAATTTAGGAAGCTACTTTAGGTATGTGTTATTTTCTCTAGATAAAGAGAAAAGAAAGAAGTCTGGAGAAGGGGTTACATCAGCATCACATCTTTAGCTAATAATCACGTGTTTCTCGAGTATTTGCATGTGCATACAAAAGAATAGTGGAAATTTTTCCTATAAGTCTTACTTTTCTTTGTGTCACCATGCATAGATTGAGGACTATAGTGTCTCTGAATATCATAGGAAGTCAAAGGAAGTTACCATCTTCTAGACGTCATCTATTCATAGAACTTTGATTTGGAAGTATTTGCTCAAAGTTTTATAGTACCGTCCAATAGTTTTGTGTAAGTTAATGTGTTCAAAGGAAGAAATCATGAAACATCAATTGGATAATTTAGGTTCTTCTTGGGCTATTCAGATGGAAGTCTACAAAGTAGTCTCTAACTTTCAAAGGGCGGGGAAAGGTAATAACAAAAAAACTTGGCAAATACTCTGACGATTTTCCATCCCAACCATTCTTTTATATTTAGAGCTTCGGTGCTAACAACTACTAAATATTTCGTCGGGTTTGCAGAAGCACTACTTAGGCAGATAATTAATGACATAAATAAAGGGGAAGGGTTAGAGATAACTGAAAGGCAAATCTGAAGTTAGAAAATTCCTGAAGTGGAGTTAGTATCAAAGTTAGCATCTTACACAACCTACTCTGATATTTTCTTGAATTACTCCTGAAGTGGAAATAGCATTGGATGTGAGGAACTTGTGTGCAAATATAGCTCTTTTTTCCCATGAAACTAACTATCGAGATGGCTTTATTTGCTCCTTTTATCTTATATCAAATATATGACCAGTTGAAATGTGACCAGATACACAGTGGGAAAAATTACACCTATACAAAGACGAGAAATACGGGCTTCAGATTTTGGTCCACGTGCTAGCTTTTGGATGTATTTTCCTAAAGAAGGATCACAATTGACACCTACACATCAGTCCGAAGATTTCAAGTGGAAAGATTATTGCCCAATGGTCTTCAGGTTGGTGGTTTGGAATCTTTTCTCTGACAATGGTTGATAAACTCTAAGCAGCTCTTAATATTTATTGGTGTAAGCTTCATGCACATTGGGTTTTTCTTTTTTGTTGGCTAGATGTGGTTTCATTATGCATGTTCCTTTTGTGCTTTTTTTTCTTTAGATATGTTAATGGCATGTTCTTCTGCTGAACGGATATATTAGATCTCCCAACTGACTTTATAGTTTGTACATTGGATGTACATCTGTAAGTAGTGGCTTTATCTTCTTTGACCTCTCAGTTCTGACTCCCCTTTTCTATTCGTAAAGGAAAAACTCTAGTTTGTACATTGGTAATTGAGTTCTCATTGATGCTGATTATTCGGTGATGTGGCAAAAGGGAGAGTAGTGGCTTTGAATCTAGACTTTTCCCCTTAAGAGGAACACCTTCACCAACTGAGCTAATCCCTTGTGTCCTTTTCCTAGATGCTATTTCTTGGTGCTTTCTCACAGATTCACACTGATTTATTAGGGTTCTGGATTTGCTACACGCATATATAGCAACTGAAATGAGTTCCCTTGTTGTATTCTTTGGGGAAGCTGTATAACTAAGTCCTCGATATGGTTTTATTCCATTTATCATATGCCGACTTAGGTGCTTTGTTGTTAAAGTAGAGTAGCTTCTTTGTGTCCCTTCTGTAGATGCTTTTTCTTGTTAATGTTGATGTATTATTAGAAGTTCAAGCTAGCTTGTTAGACTTTTTGATTTCTACATACATATGTAGGAACTAATATGGGTTTATCTTCTTGTAGGAATCTGAGGGAGATGTTTAAGATTGATGCTGCTGATTATATGATGTCAATTTGTGGAAATGATGCACTTAGAGAGCTTTCTTCTCCTGGGAAAAGCGGCAGTGTGTTTTTCCTGTCTCAAGATGACCGTTTCATGATTAAGACATTACGTAAATCTGAAGTTAAGGTGTGTAATCTTGACTTAAACCTATCAGTTGATATACCTAAATCTGAAGTTACAGTTGTAAGGCTCATACTTGTGTAAACAGCTCCTTTTTTTTTTACGTCAACTAGATTTTGAAGAACCTGTTTAGATGTCTCTTTTAAAGCTTAGCCTGTAACTATTTCATTGGAGTTCCTTTTACATATAAAGTTGGGTGAAAAGAGAACCTCATGACCATTGATTTCACGTGTAGGTTTTGCTGCAGATGCTTCCGAATTATCATCGTCATGTCAAGACGCATGAGAATACTCTCATCACTAAATTTTTTGGACTTCATAGGATAAAACCTTCCAGTGGACAGAAGGTAATATACTTGTAAATATAATAATTATATCTTGCATATATAAAAGGATTGTACTGTATTGTGTCCATATACTTGTGTTAATATTGCATTAAACAATAAATTTTAAAAAGAAAACTTCTATTTTATTGTGGCTTACAAAAGCTGTTTGGATTCTAATTGCTCAACAATTCTTTCCAAAAAAAAAAGGGAAATCGATGTGGTAAAACCCTTGCCAAATTTTCCCTGCCTAGGAGTCAACAGTGGACCTTTCCCACTTTGCTCCATTGTGACTTGAACTCGCAACCACTTTTTGTAAGTGTTGCACTATTGTGACTGTAAAAACCTCGCTTGTCTTGCTCTACAATTCATAAGGGTTTAGAGATAAGTAGAGCTCCAAAGGTTATATTGAATGTTAATGTAGCTTCTTCTGTCCCAATAAAGGAGGCATTTCTTCTTCTTTCATCACCATTGAAAGCACTTTGTCCCACCTATCAGAAAGGCCCCCACCCATCTCTATGACTTCGGAGAGCTGCTAAATAATGAGGTTCGGCATCTGCTTCTAACTTGACCTGAGCGGTTATTGAAACGAAATTATTTCAATAAATTATTATGGTGAGTTTGGATTTATAAGTGTTTAAAAAGTAATAGTTTGGAATATGCAAAATTAAAGTAATAAGATGTCAAATCCAGTATGTGATAACATAAAATTGTATTCATTTGTTTTAATTTAAATTGTTTGAGGGGGAAACTTTTATTAAGAGGTCAAGTTGCACTAGAGGGTTTTGACCTAACGATCAATGAACCGCAGTAGAGGCAAAAAAATACTAGGTAATCTTTTCCCATCAGTTTAAGCCTAGCGAACATAATTATGGTATCTGTGCTGGTATAAGGTAGCAGGTATCCACTCTCTCTACGGTTTTTACTTGAACTTCTCAAGCTCGGGAGCATATGCAATTGTTAAAGCAAGGCGCTATTGTACCAGTGGTGCTTGATTCAAATCGTTTGTCTAAAGAGGGTGTAGCGATAACCAAAATGTGAATTAGTCACGGTATGCGCAAACCGATCCGAGCATTAGCTGTTACTAGAGGAAAAAAGGAAGAGATCAAGCTTTCTGGAATTAACCGTTAAGGAAAGAAGGGCAGGTTTATTAGTTGGAGGGAGGATCACGTAATGATAATAGTAAACATTTCAAGATGAACTGATAAGGGGCGTGGAGAAGAATTAATTTGTGGATTGGGAGTGATAAATCAGAATCTTGCTAAAAAATTCTCTTTGCATCCATGATGTTGTTTGAAGAAACTTTCACAGAAAATAAAGACTGTTTTATATACATAGGACTTATACTTTTGTAACATTGATTTTTGCAGTTCCGCTTTGTAGTAATGGGAAATATGTTTTGTACGGAGTTGAGAATCCACCGAAGATTTGATCTTAAAGGTTCTTCACTAGGGCGATCGGCAGACAAGGTTGAAATTGATGAGAACACAATACTTAAGGATCTAGATTTGAACTACTGCTTTTATCTAGAGCCTTCTTGGCGCGAAGCTTTATTAAGGTGAGTGACTTCTAACTTAATAGTCCTTATTTCTCTGATGTACGTACATTTTTTACTTTTCAGTTGCTGTTCTAACTTAATTATGTAGTAATATCCAGGGGTTACCAGTCACCATGTAACGCAGATAGCTTATAAAGCTTCTGTTCACAGTAGTGTATTTTCTTATGGCAGGACTTGTTATTTGTTTTATTTTTTAAATCTTTTGGATGGTTCTTAAAAAATGTGACCCTTAAGTTTGGTCTGCACTTTTAGCTTTAATCATTTTACTCAAAAATATCTTGTGTAATTAGTTTTCTTGTGATTCAACTTTGGCTGAACATGCTAAACTGACCAAAGTAATGATGAGCCAATTAGCATTTTGTCCTTCGCATTATTTTTTAGAAAATGGTAAATACTATTGATGTTAAAACCAGCACTAAGAAAGTGCTGTGGTTACATCCAAAGAGAGCAAAAGAAAAGGGAACCGTTAAGTAAATTTCTGATTACCTTTTAGTATAAAGAGCTTGCAGAGGAAGCATTTTCGGACTTACAATTTGACACCAGGATAGTAGATACTTTTCAAGTAGACCACCTGCTTCAGTATCTTTTCCGATTTGTGGACTGTAAATCTGGTCTTGAATAAAGTTTGCTCTATTTCATGGCAAATCTTAAATTCTTTTTTTTCCCTTACTTTTTCAATTTCGTCGTGACATACATGTGTGTTTGTTTGTACAGGCAGATCGAAATCGACAGTAAATTTTTGGAGGAACAGCACATTATGGATTACAGCCTCTTGTTAGGTGTTCATTATAGAGCACCTCAACACCTACAATCTCTCATCTCGTGCAGTGGACGCACCACAGTGGATGGATTAGAAATTGTTGCAGAGGAAGGTTTGTCTCTGAATATGAAAATTAATAATAATATGCACCTGAATTTACATGAACTACTTATTTAAGGCGTACCACTTGGACAAAACAAAAGTATGACCTGATAGCTTGTGGCTATTCTGTTTATCCGGTCCGTAATTTATACAAATCTCGTCATATATTTATTGGTGGAGTATTCTGTTTATTCACTAGCTGGAAACATGTACAACTATAATACCAACACACAGAAGGATATATTATTCCATTATGCTCGGCCTGAGGTTAAGTGCACTCTAAGGGGTCGTTTGGTTTGAAGACAAGTTATGATGGGATTAGTTATGTTGGGAGTAGTTATCCTGATATTATTTCTTATTTACTGTTTGGTATGTTGTATTAATTCTGGGATTGTCAATTTTACTGCTTTATCAGTTTATCTTGGGATACCTTATCCTGGGATTACTATTCCACCCTTTGGCAGACATAATGTTCTCATGGTACTATTTTTAATCCTGGGATAACTTATCACAGGATTAGTAACCAAACAAGGGATAAGGCGGTACCAAATTTTTATTCCAGGATTATTTTTTGCTTATACATCATACCAAACGACTCCTAAGTGACTAATAGGCATAGGGTTCACTCTCCTGATGTATTAATGATGACTTTGGACAGTTAAATCCCTAAAATGGGGAATAACTAGCCATTGTTGCTTCAAACTTGTACTGGTGGCACCTTATCATGCCCGATATTTGTGGAAAGAATGGATTCCTGAAGATTTATCGATTTTTTTTGCTTTATCACTGTTTCTATAAACTATTGTTTTGTTCTACTACTACAGAGTCTCTGGAGGATGAAATATCGCCCCAAGGCCTTGTTTTGGTCCCACGCGGAAGTGATGATAGCGTGGTTGTGGGTCCTCATGTCAGAGGCAGCCGATTACGAGCGTCATCAGCTACTGGCGATGCAGAAGTGGACCTCCTCCTCCCAGGGACAGCAAGGTAATTTTTCACCACGCTTGACGTTAGTATTTTCCTAATCCAAGTTGACGCGGAGTTGATCCTTTTCGTGTTTGGATTTTGGTAGTGACAATTGTACATTCCTAAAAAAAATTTCTTTGCCTTTCTAACAGACTCCAGATTCAGCTTGGCGTGAATATGCCAGCAAGGGCGGAATATATACCAAAGGAAGGTCAGACGCAGGTTTTTCACGAAGTATATGATGTTGTATTATACCTTGGGATAATTGACATATTGCAAGACTACAATATAAGTAAGAAGTTAGAACACGCATACAAATCGATTCAGTTTGATTCTGTGTCCATTTCTGCTGTGGATCCAACATTTTACTCGGAGCGGTTCTTAGAGTTCATTCGGAAGGTCTTTCCTACGCTTGCAGTGGCAACTTAGAAGAGTTTGAACAGTATATTTTTACCGCCATCCTTAGCTCTTAGCATGGAAATTCATCCGAACCTGAGAATGTTTGTAGCCTTTTCCCAGAGGGTGGCAGAGGATACAGCTATTGTTTTGTATTTATTGAGTGTGTACAATGCGGATCACAGCTCTTCTTGTTCATAGCAATGCATATCAGATTTTTCTTTACATGTCTTCATTTTTCTTAGTGTTGTATTATTTTAACAGCTTTCTAGCATCGAGTGATCAGCTGGCAGTTACAGCAGCTTTATATTTCCATGTTCAAGATATGTTCCAAGTATTAAGTACAAAAACTTGGTAGAAACGGTACATGATTGTATTTGTGGGTGAAGCCTAGAAGTCGGATCAAGGAGGAAAAAGAAAATAAGATACAAGATTGGATCACCCCCATCTCCATCGATAATTTTCAATTATTATTTATCGAAAACTCGTACTTAGGAGTTGATCTTTTTAATTCTTTGAATTGGGCTGGCGGATAGATATTCTCGTAAGACGAATCCAAGAAGAAATAGCGGCGACCACTGTCAAATATATTCTTCCAATAAATTATTTCAAAGTTCCAATAGCATGCTTGGGTACACGAATAAGCTCTAAGCTGAAATCTAGTTCCAAGGGGATGAAATATCTTATTGTTACTTTATGTGCTGTACTATTACTAACCTGTGCATTTGCTAAATCCACCCAATTCCCCCTTCATATATAATGACCTGATGCCAAGATTTAAAAAGTTCTGTAACAGATTGCTTTCTTTTGATGCAGCATACAAACAGCATTAAGGTACTACTTTGTAATAAAGCCGGTATTCTATTACATCTACCTCCAAAGACTTTCAGATGAATCAGCTAAAAGATAGAACAGTTTCGGTCAACATAGCATGATTTTTGTTAGGGCCTAACCAGCATCTGACCCTTAATACAACAACTGAGTTACAGACTTCGAAATTACCAAAAAAAATGAACTAAACTGCTAGGTAATATGGCCTCAGCTCATCAACCCATGTTGGGTGGTGGAGGTGGTGGGCGCATTCCTTGTCCTTGCATCTGTTGGCCTGGAAAACCTTGTGGAGGCATCATTGGAGGTCTCCCCATGTGTCCACCTGGAGTGAAATTAGCCATTGCGCCGCCACCAACTGGAGGAGGTGGTGGAGCAGGTAAGTTGCCTCCTGGTGGCATAGGTCTTGGTCCGTTGCCCATAGGGGGAGGGGGTGGAGGCATAGACCCAGGGGTAGATGGTGGCCCTCTGGGTGGATTCGGAGCTCCAGGGGGGAGACCATGTGGTGGTGGTGGGGGCGGCGGTGGAGCTTGGGGTGGTGGAGGTAGAGGCCTGGATGGGGCACCAGGTGCTGCTGTCCCATTTGCTGCAGGAGCAGGTGGTGGTTTGTTGGTCTCTGGCGGCTTAGTCTTGAAGTATAATTGCAACTGAAATAGATTCACCCAGAAAAGAGTTAAAGAGGTTTTACCATGAAGAAATTAGTAAATTTTGGAAAACCTGTTGAGTAGGTGCCTTACAAGTTTGTAATTCAGAAAGTGAGAAGGCTTACAGTGAACATTTTCGAGTCTGGATCCCAATGTGAAAAGAACTTGGGAGTTGATTTGTCAATCTCAGTGCTTGGAACCTGAATAATGCAAAGGAATCAGTTCCATGATCAAATAACCAACAATGGAAACAAGGTGGGAAAGACTATGTTCGGCTATGGGAAAAAGTTACCTTAAATGAAATGATCTCATATGGTTCAGCAGCGAACAGAAGAAACTGATATCTTTTGTCAAATGGTTGGATTTTCTGTCCAAAAGGAAAGAGATACAGAAGATTAATACCCAGTTAATCTTCAAAAGATAAAAAACTACTTATTCTTCCACATGTAAATCCAGAGAATAGGAAATTGAATAGTACTCTGTTAGAAACAGTAGAACCACTCAAGAAAAGGATATTTTGAGATACAAACCTGCTCAAAGGAGGACATGAATCGGTGCCTTGGCTTTGTATTGTCTTCAATCTCAGGATATTCAATCTGCACCATAGCCAAAGACATGAAACTATTAGCTTTTTGATAAAATTTAGTTTAAAAGTCATGAAACTATTAGCAAGTACAAACTTCTATAAAGTAAGAAAAAGGGGAAAACCACAGAAAATGGAAGGTAAATTTGGCCAGCAAAGACTCCTTTGGTACTTGACGAAATGCACATGTAATACTGTAAACGTGCATTTCTTGCAATCTGCAATTCTCTATTACAATATATACTTTGAGTATGTGACAAGAGATTGGTGCACTATAATAACCAAAAGAAAATAATTAAACAACCCACAATTAGTCTTAAGTATTACTACTCCCTCCTATTCATTTTGTGTCTTATTTTCCTTTTTAGTTTATTTAAAAAAGATAGCCTCTTTCTTCACCTAAGGGTGTGGCCTAATGGTCAATGAAGTGGATAATAACCATGAGGTTTCAATTCAAATCCCAGCGGAGGCAAAAACACTAGGTGATTTCTTCTCATCTGTCCAAGCCTTGGTGGACAGAGTTAACTGGTACTTGTTGCTAGTAGGATGTGGCAGATATCCCATGGAATTAGTCGAGGTGCGCGCAAGCTGGCCTGGACACCACATTTATTTAAAAAATGCCTCTTTCTATATTTAGTAATTTAAAATTCAACGTTCTCATTTTACCTTTAGTGACACTCCCTCATATGAATGACATATCATGTTTAAGACCACAAGATTCAAAGGATATTTTTGGTATGTTATTCAAAAGCTTCTTTTCATTCTTAAACTCCGTGACTGTCAACGGCTAGTCCAACTATTTAACCATATTCTAGCATTATGACATTTTTAGCTCAAAATCTGGATAAGTCCTGCTGCCTTATTTTACTGGTTCACCTTCATACAACAAATCGAGAAGCCATGCATTGCACCCAGAGTACAGGGCTTGGTCTCAATGTTGTTACTTGGTACACTAGCCTCCAAAGTTTTGAAAGACATGAGAGTTGCTTTTATTTTCTACTTTCTATTTTTTGGGCAAAGCAACATGCCAAAAATATGCAGCCCAGCTGTGTAACCCAGACGCATTTTGTAGATATCAGGTAGACACCTCCTTTCTCAAATACCCCCACAACTGCGGCCTGCAGATTGGTCTTTAACACAGATTCTTTTGAAAAGACAAACATCTTCCATTTGATTAATTTCTCTCGTTTCTCATACCCCAGCAATCAATATGGTAGCTTACAAGTTGGAAATCATCTAAACTCAGGAGCCAAGTTTGTTCTGACTGAGACTAGTACACGACTAGTCAAATCCATATCCTGACAATGTAAAGCTATCCCAATATACTCTCTCCATTTCAATATATGTGTTTTAGTTAGAATGAGCACGAAGTTTAAGATTGTAAGACTTCAATCTTGTGGTCTTAAATTAAAGGTGTGTATAACATCCCAAAACTTTACATATTGTGGTTTTTATATGCCATGTCATTTCTAAAAGGGAATGGTTAAGAGAAAAGTAGGAATGCTGGAATTAAGAATTTAAAATTATAGAAAGGTGACATTCTTTTTGAAACTGACTAAAAGAAAAATAAAACACGAAAATTGAGAAAAAGGCAGTATTAATTAGGTCAAATTGCTACAGCTACGGTAGGAACCATCTGATATCCATCTAACCATAAAAAGGTGTGTTCCAAAATACGAGCATGACAAGCAGATCAAATTTACATCGATAAAACGAAAACAAGAAAAGGCTTATCGATCCTAACAGGTATGTCCATTTCGTAGAACGTGACAGCAAAATAGGGGGCCTAAATTACTTTAGTCGAACAACCATATGCTTCAAAAGCAAAGAACATTTTGAGGAGCTCACTAGAATACATAATTTACCAAAACCTCTTAATCGGGCTGAACAAATCAATGTAGATTTTCGTAACTCGTCCTTTTTAAACATATCATACAACAGCCTAATAAACTGAATTAGTAAATCTTTAGTATACAATAATCTAAAACAATTGCAAAACTAATGTCATATTTCAACTTTTTTTGGATGTACTAAACCCTACCTCCCTCTCCCCAAAATCCCACTTTCCACGAGCCAAATGGTGGCTTTCCCACTTTGCTCCCTCAACAACTCGAACCCCCAAACTCATAGTTGAAGGAGGAGAGCTACTTCCGATAGGCTATCTCTCCCTTGTCTCATTTTGATCTTTCAAATGATAGTTCTGAAGTTCTTGATTTCCACAATGAAAAAGATTTGACTTCCGCCACATGTAAAAAATAATGTTATGCTATTCGAACGATTAGGAACTGCTGAATGAACAACCATTGACAGAAAACAATGCTCAGTAGCCTTAAATTGGCAGCAGACACATTGTTGAAAGTTAAAGAGACAAATGGAAAATCTAACCTGGAATAGAAGAGATCGTTGTTTCGTCTCTGGATCAAATTGCTTGGTCACCCGGTAGCCAGGCCTACCAATTTTAACTGCAGATCCAACCCCATAAAAAAATTAGCATATGACACTCAAGAATTAAGGAAAATGGATAATCAGCCACCAACAAAATAAAACAATTTCTCAACGTGAAAGATAGTCAAACTATGATAAATCATCATGACATTAATTCATTTGCACCCAGGTAAAAGGCCAAATAGTTATAGATGATTCATAAAGCCAACCCAACAGAATGACTGTCCCCCTTCTATAAGATCTATGTCTTACAAGAAATCACACTTCTTGATTATATCCACACACTAGTGACTAGTTACAATATTTAAAGAACCTAGGTCAAGTATCTTTTGCTAGTTGGTGGATTACTTTCTTATTTTTTTTAGGAAAACTGGATTAGCTTGCTTGCACTTTGCCTATTCTACTGTGTACAACTCTCTGTCTACCAAATCTCGGGCGGATGAGAAGATATCACCTAGTTTTTTTGCATTTGAACCTGGACTCCCATGGCAATCTATTTTCAACTTCATCCACCCTTGGGTGCTAGAGGATAAATTAATTGTAGGAATTAAATTTTCTAAAAGAACTTTCTCTAACCAAAATCTAATGGCACATAATTGTGACTAGCTTTTTACAATGATGGTGTCAGGCGAAATTACACTCAAACTCCATAGTTGTACCACCAGTAGAAGTAACTGTTAACTACGCCCATCAAGGCTTAGGTAAATGGGAATAAACTTTTTGCCTTTACTGGAATCAACTCTAGTCTCCCATTTGTTCGATCCCGCTTCATTAAATGCAATGCCACACCCTTAGGTGTGGTCACAGGTAGAACCAGGAATTGAAGCTTATTGGTTCGAGCTTCTATTCCTGGGAGCAGTACATAATCGTGGCTAAGGGTAAATAAAGAAGTATAATGTTAAACCCTAAATCATATTCCAAACTCAACAAATAATAACAATAACACTAACATCTCTTACATATCACCAGAATTAAGTCCCAAATTCAAATAACAAAACTCATCTACTGATAAAAATTACTGTAAAATACG